CCCCCCCCCCCCCCCCCCCCCACCTTGAGTTAAACCTGACGAAAAACATCAATGTATTGCCTAGTGATTATTTAAAAATCAGATGAGTAAATTTTTTGTGATAAACAATAATTGAAGTAATCTGTTTTGTATGGTTTGGTTGGTGTATTATTATTATTTTAATTATTTTAAAATTCAAATTTTTAGTACAAGCAATTAGGGTAGGGAGTTTTAGACAAATATTCATTGGGTGCACATGGATGGAGGTAGAAGAGCTTAACCAAATGAGCTATACCCTAATAACGGTTTGGTTTGGGGTTTTAAGTTGTGGTTTTGCTCACTCCTTAACATATTTTGCAGGTACTAAACTAGTAGTCTAGGACTTGAGATGAACTTGGCATGTTTGTAGAATGTGTTGTGGGCATAAACTTGGCATGTCTTTAGTGAACTCTTGAGTATTGTAATGATGTAAGATTTCGAATAATGTTGTTTCTGCTTGGAAATTCTATGTGAAATGTTTATTTATTTAGTGATCTTCACATTTTAGTTATAGTTTTTTATTTATTAAATTCTATAATTAAGGTGTGAATCACATCTTAAACCAAGTTTACATAAATCTGTGAGTTGGGACGTGACAAGTTGGTATCAGAGCCTAGTGTTATGTTTTGATTAAATAGTTTTGTTATCTATTGACATGTTAAGTACTTTTTAGGATGCAACCTACTCATAGTAACGACACATGGGGAGGGTTTTAGGTGGGACTCAATAGCCTCATTCCACTAGAGAAAGTGTACCATAGCCGTCTTTGTCACCAGGCCTATTTAGAAATAGTTGTTGAAGCTGTCGACACAGTATATAAGAGAATGTTCTATACACCAGAGATGCAACGAATGGTGGTGAGACATCGTTTGCAAACAAACAATGTTAAGAGTTGTTATCAACCGGATATTAAAGCAAATTCATACAATCAAGTGCTACCAAATGTTGATATAGTGGCTGATACAATAGTGGCTGCTGGTGGCAAATTATTATCAACCACTATATCAACATCTTGTAGCATTTGATCATATGAATTTGCTTCAATATCCACTTGATATTGACTCAACATTGTTTACTTGCAAACGATGTCTCACCACCATTTGTTGCATTTCTGGGGTATAGAACATTCTCTTATATCCTATGTCGACAAGTTCAACAACTGTTTCTAAATAGGCCTGGTGGCGAAGACGGCTATGGTACACTTCCTCTAGTGGAATGAGACCATTGCGTCCCACCTAGAACCCTCCCCATGTGTCATTATTATATGCAGGTTGCATCCTAAAAAGTACTTAACATGTCAACAAATAACAAAACTATTTAATCAAACTGTAACACTAGGCTATGATACCAACTTGTCACGTCCCAACTCACAGATTTAGACTTGATTCACACCTTAATTATAGAATTTAATTATAAAAAAAAACTATAACTAAAATGTAAAAAACACTAAATAAATAAATAAACATCTCACATAGAATTTCCAAGCGGAAACAACATTATTCGAAATCTTACATCATTACAACCACTCAAGCGTTCACTAAAAGAGTAGCTCATTATTCAACTACAACACACTCTATAGACATACCAAGTTCATCTCAAGTCCTAGAGTTTTGGTTCAGTACTTGTTAAATCTGTTAAAGGGTGAGTGAAACCACAACTTAGTAGAGACATAAATCTTGCTACAGTAATTGATATAACTAAATTAAGTGACATGCAACCACTCAATAAAATATTATATTAACAATAATAGTGCATGAATGCTCTTTATCTATTCATGCATAATATATTGCTCACGAAATTTAATTAAATCAATCTTTGTAAAGGCCTCCAAGAAATCCCCTACCTCGTTTCCAAAGCCAATTCCAAATAAAAAAAACACTCAAACTACGACTTCTAACTCCTCCTGAGAATTTTATCATCACTTGTTTTCTCTTGTTTTATTTCTTCTTTTCTATCTTTCTCTGTTTTTCTCTTCTCTTTGCATACACTGCTATGCAATGTCGTGTGTTTTCAAAATCAAAGAAAATGACCCCTATTTATAGTAAATACTAAGGCAGCAACCAATGGGTTCTAATGGGTGGAAGATGCACTTCAACTGATAAACTTTGCTCCAAGTTTTAATAATTATTAATTCCTCAACATCACCAGCTCATGCTAAAAAAACATTAGTCATCAAGTGGAATGACACTTGTCGAGTAATCAATCTCAAATAAAAAGGTTTTAGCACAACTGACTTACACGTCAAATTGAAAGCAAGGAAAAACTGCCACCTCCTGCTTGTTTGCATGTAAAGCTTTGGCCAACACCAACTCTACAGCGACTTCTCACTTGCTTAAACACTAATTTTTTAATACCTCCAACACAAAAACACTAACTCCAGTTATTATCAATCCCGTAGGATAAAAGCCCACGTCAAAAACTCTACACCATTTAGATAGCCATATGCATGAATAAATTCACCACTACTAAAATTAAAACAAAATGTTAAGGAAATCATTAAAGTAACGTACAAGAACTATGTGAATAAAAGGAATTTAAATATTATGAACATATAATACATATAATTATTAGAATAGTATTATAAACATTTAAACAGCTATATATACATACATACCCTACTTAGCCAGGTAATTACATTTAGATATATATATATTTAAATATACGGGTTCTCACAATCTACCCTTCTAAAAGAAATTTCGTCCTCAAAATTAAAATAAAAGAAAAACTTATTGGAATTAGAGAAAAATTTCTGGATACTTCTTATGCATTTCATTCTCTTACTCCCATGTAGCTTCTGTTGTATTCCCATGTAATCAAAGAACTTTGACCAATTGTATTGTTTTCGTATGTAACACTTGTTCCTTATGATCTAAAATCTGTATTGATCTTTTCTCAAATGACAGTTCTTTATCTAAATTGGGCTCTCCCCAATCTAGGATGTGTCGGATCAAGTTCATAATTTTGAAGCATGAAAATGTGAAAAACATTATGTACATTTGAAAGTTAAGTTGGTAATGCTAACTTGTAAGCTACTTCACTTATTCTCTCTAAAATTTTAAAAGGCCCAATAAACCTTAGTGCTAATTTTTCAGTATTTTCAAATCTTTTTTCTCCTCTTTGCGCTGAGACTATAACAAACACAAAATCACCCAAGGAATACTAAATAAAATGACAACAAGTACTTAATCGTTAAATTTAGTATTCCCTGGAGAATAAGTATTTATGTTCTCATTTTAATTGTATAACTTCTCATGAACATACCATCACACATTCTACCAATGAGGAAGTAGTAAACACCGACTTCTTCAAGGATAAATAGAACCCATTTTCGTTTGTGTTTTAAAGAGCCTGGCATGCATAGTTGTTTGCATGAACACCAAGGAAAAGGAATAGTAAATTAAAAAAAAGTGTTGATTGTTTAAATATATATATTCCCTTCTTTATGTATTTGAGTGTGATTGAGTAGTTGTTGTGAGTTGAGTCTCTTTCTCTCTTCCACATATATTTCTCAAACTCTAACGCTAGAACAAACTAGGGACGAGAGTTATGTTTTTGTTAGGGCTTAACAAGATTAAATACCAGCAAGACTTTTTTTAGGACATTGAAAATTAGATTCAAAAGGCATTCAAGCAATTGTATGATTAGAAATTCAACATTCTTTGATCCACAAATTGTTGGTAGATTAACCACAAGGTGTGGTGCGGTTGGTAAATTGCCACCTCCAGCTGGCGAGCTACCTAGTGCCTCAATGACAAGGGTTCGAAACCCGTTGGAAGCACTTTGTGGTCAGGGACAAGCCGAACCCCGAGCGGGGAATTTAATCACACCCTTTGGGTGTGGGGACACCTTGTGGTATTTACCCCCCCAAAAAAAATGAGTTGGTAGATTCCTATTTTTTGTTGTTGTATTTATAGGTTTAGCTCGTATTATTTCTTATAAATAAAATCAATTTTTTATTCTTGCCCAATGGGCTCATTTATAGAAATCATTAGAATTGGAGGTATTGGAAAGAATTTAAATTCTCATTCCCCAATATCACTTATATAAATAAAATAATTGAAGAAATAACTCTAATTCAATGGGCTAAAGTGTTATTTTAGCCCTAAAGGCTAAATGGTATATTTAAAGAGTATAGCCGCGCGGCTATACTCGAATATTTTAAAAGTATAGCCGCTCGGCTATACGCTGTAAATATATTCGAATATTTTAAAAGTATAGCCGCGCGGCTATACGCTGTTAGCCAGCCAGCCAGCTTTAAGTTATAACCCATCCTCCTAACCGGGCCTAACCGACCCGTCTTCCACTGCCAACTTAAAACCCTAGAAGCACAGTACGATAAAACTCTTTTCCGCTCGTTGGGTTTCTGAAGTTGCAGAAGCAAAAGCATAGAGCCAACGAGAAGCCGCTCACACCCTAAAAGATGCCCAAGTCTAAGCGCGATCGACCAGGTCTGCCTTCTCTCTTCTTGTTGTTTGGTTCGCGAGAAAACTTAAAGGAAAAACAACAAACTCTAATCCTTTTCCTTTTGTTATTAATCGTATTTTTTGACGTTGCGAACTGTCAGCTGAAACTTTCTGTAACTTAGTTTTTCCATACGTTTGTCTTGGACTAAAGTACAAGAAGAAGCACAGATAACAACCAACACTTGGGTTTTTTGTTCATTGTTAAAAATTGAAAAAAAAAACTCGTATAAAAAAAATTGAAAAAAACTAAGAGAACTAGAAGAGTGTGATTTTATCTGTTTGCTATTACATATTGTATCCTTTTGTTTTCCATGTAACAGATTTTGGGTTTGAAATGTTGAAATTTGTTTCTACCAGTTTCGAATATGAAAGTGAAATGAAATGCTATGGGATATACCCAATTTCAGGAGAATTAGCTTACTTTGTATCTACTGCTGTAGTTGACCTTCATTGTAGGAAAGGGCAGACTTTGGGATTGTTTTCAGTGTTTTATTTTTATTATTATTTTCGTTTGTAACAAGCTTTTGGCTGCTCGAAATTGGTAAAGTGTTAGAAACTGAAAATTTGAAAAGTTTAAAAATTAAGACTTGATTGATATTATGCAGTTTTGATTTTTCTTTCTGCTTTTACTTCTCGCAAGCAATTGAGTGATTGGTCTGATTAATCGGAGGATGGTATGAATAATGTTATGGTCCATTTCATGATTGGTTGGGGTTGTGGCTGCAGTTACACTTTCCAAGACAAAGAAGAAAGGAAGGGAACACAAAGAAACCATTGTGAATTCAATAAGGCAGGCAGCGGAAGATTACAGTTCCGTTTATGTGTTCTCTTTTGAGAACATGCGAAATCTCAAATTCAAGGAGTTCAGAGACCAGCTCAAATCATCCAGCAGGTAAGTTCATTTCAAGATGCCCCATTTGTTGTAGTGGTAACTCAGAACATGCAATGAAAATTAGAGAAACTTGCATGCGAAAGTTAGGTGCTATGCGTTCAATCTTTGGGACCCTCAGAAGAATTAAGAATTCCAGTTGACTGCAGTTTTAGGTTCTTAATTGGGTTGAGCACATAGAATACCTCTGTTCGATGTTTTATTTTCATTATTTTCAATTTATTTTCCTCCTACCAACCTTCACTTACAATTTGTTTGGAAATTAAAGTATGTGAGGAGAGATACAACTTATAGAAGTAGAGAAGAGAGTTTCAACTTCCTTGTGCTTTGTTGGGTTGTCTTTGGAAGCTAATGAGAGTGTGTTTGGGTTGGGGTAATTTTGTAATATTGAATAGTGCAACCACTGTAGTAGCCGGAAGCTTTATGAAGGTGTGCAAAAGCATCTTTGGAAAAACCAGCCATTGTAGCTTTTCCAAAATCAAATAATAAGGCCCTAAAACTATTGGAAATCACCTTTCCTATTGATATCCAACCACACTTAAAAGTGAGTTGGCTGAGGATTGATCTTCGACCCAAATTTTTTTACCCAAAAGATTCTTTTGGATGTGTGATTAGCTTTGGAGGTATGATTATTCTATGCAACAGGTATTTTGTGGAAAGATTTAGTTTTTCTCAATGGTCATCTTTTCTGAGTAAACTAACTGTTCTCATATTGTTAGTTTAACTTATTTGCACTAATGCAGCTATGTAATTATTTAATGGACAAATTCTCTAAAATTTATAAGTCATGGATTCTACAATACGAGTATGTGTATCATGCAAAGTTATTTTTCTCAGATTTTTCCTTGGTTCAAACAAAGTCATGCAAATTTCTTTAGGTCGATCTGATTCCGATGAGATCAGACCAGATCTCCACAAAATTTCTAAGGTAAGCCTTTTGTGCAAAATTTCTAGTGTCTTTTTATTGTTTTAGTTGAATCTCTTGTCTTATGCCTTTGTTGACTTTTCTTAGGTTCTGCATGGAAATGCTGGACTGTGTTTCACCAATTTGCCGAAGGAAGAGGTGGAAAGGTAAAAGTTCACATTTTCTCATGTTTACAAGCTTGGGAAATACATTTGCAGCATTTTGGATAATTACTTGTAGAAGATGGCTGATATGAAGCCAAGTGTATAAAACCAAGGCCACCTAGAAAAATAGTTAATTGAACGTTTCTGGTGGAGATCTGATCTTGTAGGGTACCACATGAGTTATGTACTTATGTCTAAAGTTGTAATAATTTCAAATTTTTTTTTGCAGGCTATTTAACGAATACAAGGAATATGATTTCGCAAGGACGGGAAGCATAGCGACAGAGAAGGTTCTTTTTGAGATTTTTGGTTGTAACTAGTTTTATATGGAAATTTTATGTGGAATTTGAGAGGTCATATAAATGTGATCTGCTGCCTTGCTTTGAACTAGTTGGCTAGCTAGAATGTATCATTTGTGCCCTAGATTTGCCTTCTGAGGTTATATTTTTTTTGTCTTGTTGATAGTGTTCAATTATCCTACCATGAAGTATTGAATATTATTTCAAATGTGTTAGGTGGAGCTTCAGGAGGGTCCTTTGGAGCAGTTCACTCATGAGATGGAACCCTTTCTACGTAAACAAGGGATGCCTGTTCGTTTGAACAAAGGTACCTACTTGTTGTCTTTGTTTTCTAGTCTTTGTATGCACTCAAGAGAAGACTAAATGTGGTTTCCATGCTTGCAGGTGTTGTGGAGCTTGTTTCAGACTTCCTTGTTTGTGATGAAGGAAAGTCTCTGTCACCTGAGTCAGCTCGGATACTGGTTTGTTTCATGCTCAAATTATTGTCTAGGAAGTTACTTTGTTGTTCTTATCGGAATGGGATAACTTTTTTCCTTTATGGTTATAGATGTTCTAAGCAGTCTTAAACGCCATTTATTTTTCCTTCTATAAACTTGGGAATCCTTTTGTTGGTTTATTTGTAGTGCTTCATTTGATCATGTGCGTATTGTTTCCATCAACCCTATTTTGTATATTTTGTGGAATCCGATTGTGGATAAGCGCAAAAGGCACTCTTAACCCCAATTCTTTTCCTTTTATAAACCTGGGGATCCTTTTGTTGGTTTACTTTTAGTTTTGTTCAATCATGTGCATAATGTGTTTGTAAACTCTGTTTGATATTTTTGTTGAATCCTATTGTTGAGCCGAAAATTTTGTGGACTGAAATTTTTGCATTGGCCGATCATGCGACCATGGCTTGCTGATTGATCGGCCATTCCAAAAAATGTCAGCCAGTACTGATCAAGTCCACACCTGATACTGTCTGTATAGTAGGTGCCTGTATTCTTTGTTGATTTTTATTAGTTTGATCTTCGCAAAAAAGTCATTTTAATTTTTTTGGTGCATGCGACTCCCGAATATAGTTTTTATGCACCATTTCTGTGCCCTTATTGCTGATATTGCTGCTGCTATTGTTATGTATTTTCTTTTATTTTGAAATTTGTTAAAATAAATTTGTAGAGATACTAATATCTGCGTGACCTAATTTATATACAGCGTTTGTTGGGAATCAAGATGGCTACCTTCCGACTTCACTTAATAAGCAGATGGAGCCCTGGTGAATTCGAACTCTACGGTCCAGGACCAGATGATTCAGGTGTTGAATCCTCATAAGTGCTGATATGAGATCCAATGGCATATGAATACAACACTAAGGGTTGGGTTGGGGGGAAATCATGATGTGTTTTGTACTCTTGCTGACCTTCGGGCCATTTTTGAGTTAGGTTTATTGTTTTTGTTTTTGGGCGGTTTGTAACTTATTGCACTTTTAACTTTTGATGCGTATGTTTTGACCCTGTTGTATTATCTGGTTTTTGTAAAACCTCTAGTTACTGTAAGAAACATAACCGTTTTTATAAAGTCACAAAATTCCAGACCACCTCCTAAAGGGTGAGATTCATATAAGTGCTTTATGGAGAACTGCTTCCAAGTATTTTTCCAGGAAGCACATGGAATTTTAACAAAAGTTTCGATATTCTTCTAATAAAAGTGCTTTAAACGAAAGCGTTTGAGCAAAAGTGCCTGTATACTTTCTATACAAGCAGTTCCACAAGGGCCCTTATTAGAAATTCTTTTTTTAAGGTTTAGGGCCTCAAAGGGAGGAGAGGGCTATGCTGCTATGAATCTAGGCTTACGTTGGTATAAAATTTGGTTGATCAACGGCTTGAGGGGGATAGCATATGTTTTTATGGATCCCCTTCTCTTTAACCGGTTGATCCTTATGCATCCAGACCGGGAAGGGTCCTGGCCTACATGCAGCTTGGGAGCTCTCGGAGAATGAGCCACTTGGAAGTGAAACTTTTCATGTCTTGTCAAGCCCGAGAGGCTCTGCTTGTTTGTGACTTGCATCCAAATTGGCCCTCAGGGTGAGAGGGAGGATGGTAGCTTTGGTTTCCTTGAGGCTTGGTTTCTTGATGCCTCATACAACGTTAAGATTTTATTTGGCTTATATTGTTCATTGGACAGTACTAACAACTTTGATTAATAATAATGCCATGCCAACACCAGTTTTAGCTGAACGAAAAGAAAGAATGAGTCAACCTTGAAACTCAAAAGGGACCCAAAGTCTATAAATGAATTGTGATTAGATGTAATCAAATGAGGCACGCCAAAAAAAATGAATAAGCCAACTAATGAACACGATATAAAGGAACAGACACGGTACGGTATATACCCTGAGTGGTGGATCAGGTGCTATATTTGAACTGAAACCCTAGTATAAAGCACATATAATATAAACTCATTAGAACCAAATGTGAATAGATGAACCTTTTTCTACAATTCAGCATTCATGTCTTTATCAGAAAAACATAAATGGAAGAAAGAAAAAAGAAAACATGGTTTCTTGATGCTAACACACCCTCATTCACGATGCAGTCAACTCAGCCTTCTTTTTATCCTCCAGAAGCTTTAGCTCCTTATGCCAACCTTCCAGTTTTGTCAACTTGTCCAGCTGCTCTGACTTATTATCTTGCTGATGAGTTTTCTGTTGTTGAGCTTCGGCAAGTCGAATCTGCAAAAGTGAACCTTCATGTAAGTGAAAACTTAATTGACAGCTTTTTAAATCATGTCAAGATAACAGTGTGGCTTCTGATGGTTCTCTACACCAAATTGTAGACTTAAAACAGGTGGGGAAAAAAACTTTAATCATTTTGCAGTGCAAGGACAAATTATATAACTAACAATGAAGCAGACATCTAACATAAAGAAGGGGAAAATGGGATGAAAACTGGTCAAGTATTGTTTTCAACCCAAGAATAATTCCTTTAGTCAAAGGAAAATAGCTGACAACTCTCGCATATTTCTTCTCGCTCATCTTTATGTACAAAACCTGAGTTTAAGACAATATTTAAAGCAAAAGAAAGGCATCGACTTAGACTCATGTGCATGGGTGAATGCAAGGAGAAGTATGTTATGCTCAATATCTTACATTATGATGTTTGCTTATTTCTTTCAAGTATTTAACAAAACAAAAGATTTTGAAGAAACCTTAATGATCTAAGGTTCTTACCAGGTCTAGGTTGCAATAATTATTCTACTGGATAACACTATTTACACAACACTCAAGAATAATAAGTACCCCAAAGATTCTCAATCGAGACTGATACATAGCTTTTAATTAACAATTTCACATAAAAAGAAAAAAACTATTTTGACAAAATAATGGCTGGCCAAAGGGAAGAGGCTACATATTTCCTAAGTTGCCAAATGGGTTTCATAGTTATACTCCAACATTGAACACAGATAGTTTATATCATGTCAAGGCAAGGCTAAAAGGATAACAAATTATACCTTCTTTTTAAGAGCTCGAATTTTTTTATCAATATCTTGAACTGGTCCCCCTGGATTCGAATCCTCTGTTGAGTCAGATGGAGGTGTAACTAAAGCAGGACTAGAAGAAACGCCTAACTCGTTCATCTGAGATGTCAATGACTTGACAGATTCTGATACATGGCCTAGATTTTCAACAGGTGCCTCCTCTTCCTTAGTTTCCCCACTTTCCGAGGTTTTCTCCTTTTCAAGAGCAGCCTGCAGAACAGGGATAAACAAAGGTCAACAAGCAGCTTGAATGAAACTAGTAACTTTGCAAACCACAATGAATTGACTGATTTGCTTTTACTTACACTGATTCAAAAAAACAAAAAGTGCAGTTATAAATAACTGTAATGACAGAAATGCCTGAGTAAAGAACAGAAAAGGCATGTCCAAATTGAAAACTGCCTCTTACTTAATTTAAAAGCAAAGCTTTTAGTCTAAAATCAAGTATCCCCATATCTGTGCTTTGTGCTTCCTCTATGTTGTTAGTAAAAAAGAACAAAGATGAATCCTCATTATTAAATCAGCTAGTCAAGGCATGGAAAAACCCCAACAGTCAACACAGGGACCAAAAAAGGGACTATTACCTATTATTTTCGCTCCTTTTAAACATCATTACATTATAATTTCACCCTTGGAAGGCAAAATTGGAAGGGTAATAAGTCGAGGATGTGAGATGGCAAGATATAACGTCTAATTTTGAGCAGAGTTCTTTAAACTGGCCTAATAAAATCATAAAAGGGGTCAATTTTAAAAAGGAATTTTGACCAGTTTTGCCCTTTGCTCCCTGAAAAAATGATCGACTACAATGCCCCTAAACTATGATAAGCTTGCCACGAATTCCATCCAACTTTCTGTTAAAGTTGAAATGTGTGGGTGTGCACGTCACACACCCACACACATTCTCTCTCTCTCTCTCTCTCTCTCTCTCTCTCTCTCTCTCTCTCTCTCTCCTTCCAAAATGGTGGCTTTTTCTCTCTCTCTCTCTCTCTCTCTCTCTCTCTCTCTCTCTCTCTCTCTCTCTCTCTCTCTCTCTCTCTCTCTCTCTCTCTCTCTCTCTCTCTCTCTCTCTCTCTCTCTCTCTCTCTCTCTCTCTCTCTCTCTCTCTCTCTCTCTCTCTCTCTCTCTCTCTCTCTCTCTCTCTCTCTCTCTCTCTCTCTCTCTCTCTCTCTCTCTCTCTCTCTCTCTCTCTCTCTCTCTCTCTCTCTCTCTCTCTCTCTCTCTCTCTCTCTCTCTCTCTCTCTCTCTCTCTCTCTCTCTCTCTCTCTCTCTCTCTCTCTCTCTCTCTCTCTCTCTCTCTCTCTCTCTCTCTCTCTCTCTCTCTCTCTCTCTCTCTCTCTCTCTCTCTCTCTCTCTCTCTCTCTCTCTCTCTCTCTCTCTCTCTCTCTCTCTCTCTCTCTCTCTCTCTCTCTCTCTCTCTCTCTCTCTCTCTCTCTCTCTCTCTCTCTCCTTCCAAAATGGTGGCTTTTATAGTTTTATTTCTTATTTAAAAAGAAACTCCATAAAATAAGTTTTAGCATTCAATTAAACACTGATGTAAGAGTTAAAGCAGCTCCAATGGACATAGATTTTGAATATGGTGATAGCAAAGCTGATCATGGAATCTTCAGAAGGTCTCTAGATCATAATATGGTCATGTGGGGTGCTACCAGTTCAAACTTTGCTCAAACTAGATGTCCTATGAGGCATTGGATCTGTTTATTTATACATTAGAACACAGCTTCATGTTTCTGTCCTAATCTTCACTGTCCTGGCAGCCTGTTCATCCTCCATGGTCTGGTAGTAAAAGTGGGGAGAGAAACCCAGCAATCAAACCCATTACACATGATACACAAGAAAAAACCAAAGGAAACAGACATATCCATTCGTTTAGAGAGAGAAGAGAGAGAATACCACAGCTTGTAGCTACTGCATCACACCCGAACAAAATCAGAGAACGAAAACCAAAGAAAACCCAATGATAGGATACTTCTTTTCTACCAAGCTAAAGCCTAAAACCACAGCTTTCTACAATTGCTAGCTCTAGAAGCCTTTAAAAAAGCAGACTTCACTGTTACTAAGGAAATCCTGCAACCAGTTTCAACAAGATCAGCACCCTATTTGCCTCTCTTGACCAAACTATCTAAAGTTAAGATCTTTCCTAAAGCTGTCCAAACAGACCACACAGGGGAGGTTCCTAGGTGCACCAAACTGCGTTAAGGGAAATCCTGCAACCAGTTTCAACAAGATCAGCACCCTATTTGCCAGCAGTAGTACTTCATTCTAATTTCAACTTACATCCCTAAAGCTTGCATCAATATCCTATACACTGCTGCAATGGAGACCCTGTATCACCCAATCAGTAGTGAAACACGTAGTAGCACTCCTCAAACAATCACAACAATCACATCTTCTATTACTTCTTATTTAATTAATATTATAATAAGTATATACAAGGAATATAACCTACCACCATAAAGCTTATAGAAAAAGTGAAAAAAAAGGGAAGTTTCTTTCTAAATATATGTAAAAGACTTCTTCCTGAGCGTTAGGATAAAAACACCAAGAAATCCCCCAAGAAGTTCAATTGAAGAAAAAGAAAAAGCTCCAACATTTGAAAGCTGCTATTTAGGAGATTTGACATACATGGCCTCCATTGCATATCCTTTGGAGAGCTATCAAGAATGCCTTGGCAGAAGAAAGAAGTAAGCCCAATTTGTTTACCTATTCATGTTGATTTTGCAAGAGAGAAGAAAAAAAAAACCCAACAAGCCCCAAGTAGAAAGAAACTGCAGCAAAGAGGTAGTTCAGTCTGCGAGTCTCCTTTTACACAAACATCAACCAGATCTCCTCTCTTGACCAAATTATCTAAAGTTAAGATCTTTCCCAATCCAAACAGACCACATGGGGGAGGTTCCTAGGTGCACCAAACTGCGTTAAGGGAAAAGGACAGATACTCCTCAACAAAGCCGTATAAATAGAAATAAACAGTCACTCACGTCTAAATCAATCTCCATTCATTCGGATGCTAACAATGGACAAGCTTATCTTTAGAAGTGCATCAATTCTAATGGATGTGCTACTTGTCAGACTAAGCCAAGAGAGCATCCATTCATCTGTAAGGCATTACACTTCAAATGCTTAGCCTGGTTTTTGTCATTGCCAGTTTCAGTTCATCCAATGTTGTCAAGGGCAGATAGCTGAAAAATTAACCAGTTTAAGGGAGAAAGAAGAATGAAATATTTAAAGGGTTTGTAGGTCTACATAAACGAGAGAGTCTTTTAGTTTTTCCTCATTACTATCTTTCATTAATTTTGTATTTTATTTCAGTTCATTTTGGTGCCAATATTATTTTTCATCCTGACCAAACCTATGGACCACAAATATATGTTTAGTTGTAATCTAAATTCCTCCCAAGTCACATAAAAGTTCCAGCTTTTGGGTGAGCATGATGCCTATCAACTCCTCATTAGGAGTTTCACGAACTTTGCATGACAAACTGAAGCACAAAGGATTTTAGCTAAAATCCACTTTACAACAAAGAATGATGATTACAGAACGAAACTCAATCAGAAGAGCAATAAATAAATTTTAGGCAATGGCTCAATAATGGAGATACCTGTATCCGCTTCTCCTTTTTTCTTTCATTCCTCTTTACAGACTTAGTCTTAGGTTTTGTTGTATCCACTGAAGTATCATCAAAACCTGGAGGTCCAGTCTGAGAGGACATCTCCTTTTTCCACTGCATTACAAAAATGAAAAAGAAAAAACTGAACTTCTAAAACCCAACGTTACTGGATTCAAATTACCAACTTCTGTCCTTTTTCTATTTTCCTTTGATATCTGAGCAGCCAAACTTTGCACAAGCGTTATTTAGAAGTATAACCATTAACCCAACCACAAAGAATTCCTGAGAGTTTTGTGAGCAGAAGGGAAAAGGGTAAAGAGAATGATATCATACCAAAGCACCTTTGGATTGGTAAATGGCGACTTCCTCTTGGGGGACATACCCAGCCCGAATACGGATGGGTTTGCGAAGCGTACCATCGGGTCGTCGGGTTGGCGCCAGAATTCTCTCTCCGTCTTTTAGGGTTTTGCTAAGCTCCGCCATTTCCGTTGGCGGCTGATCTTCTCCTCCTCCTCCGCCTCCATTGTTGCAGCTCGCCATGTCTGATCACCCAATCAAATCAGCGAAAGATATAAATGGGTAGGGGTTCTGTTTTGATTTTTTTTTCTTTTTTGGTTTTTTTTTTCGGCTGCAGCTGCTACTTAACTTGGCTTAGTTGGCTGCTAGCTACTTGTGTACTTAAATGAGAAGAGTAACAGTAACCAAACTCGACCCATTAAAAATTTGCGGGTAACCCAAATCCGGTTGACCTCTAATTCTTTGCCTTTTTATTTATTTAAAAAATTTATTCTCTTCATGTTTGCTAAAGAGACGTCCAACTCCAAGATCATCCAGTATCTGAAGTTTTGAGTCTCATTATTCTAAAAAAGAATATTGAAAAATCAGCACATGATCCTTTATTTTACATCTCAAACATCAAAATGATTATGCCGTGAGGCTCGTAAAAATTTCTGTAAAATTGTTGACATGAAACGGCATATGGATTAAACAATATATGTTTTTAAATGATTTAGAAATTAAAAATTATTAAAAACTGAAAAAGCATTAGAAAACAATAGGAGAAAAACTAAATTAAAAATAAAATAAAATTCCTCAAAGAGAATGCAATGTGACATGTTAAGGGTGAAAACATAAACTGGAAATTATAAAAAAGAAAAAAAAAAGAAAAAAAAAAAGTAAAATGAAGCACTCGAGAGAGCCAACTTCACAACTTCCTGTTCGCAAGATTTCTCTCCAGGCTTGGGAATAGATTTCTTCACTATCTAATTCCAAAGTTTCGATCTTTTGTCTTCCTTCTTCTAATTGCTCCGCGGATTCTCAGACACCTCCTTCTCCAATCCGTATTCCTCTAGTTTCAATCTATTCACTTCTCTTTCGCCGAAATTGTAAGCACTCACTACTCTCAAGTCTCAATTGTTGGCTTAAATGTTTTGATATATAATCGTGATTTTTTATTTTATACAGCGGAAATGATGAAGCGTTGGTATCAGGATTCGTATAGTTGATATTTTTCTCATTGTCTTTTGTGTTCCTTTCCATTCTCTGTTGGTGGGTTTCAGGTGCAGTGTTGTGCATTTTGTTTCCAAAGAAAGAAGTAGAGAGATGGAGAAGGGCACAAAAAGGAAAGTTAATAATAAAAAGGGAAAGGAAGAAAAGCCCATTATTGAATGTGATGATGAATCTGACGCCTGGTGGTGGTTGGTCCACAAGGGAATCACAGCTTCATTCTTGTCCATTGCATTGTTTTCGTTGTTGGTTCGAGTGGCTGTCTCACTCCATCCTTACTCTGGTGCTGGAAATCCTCCCAAGTATGGCGACTTTGAAGCACAGAGGCACTGGATGGAAATCACTCTCAATCTGCCACTCAAGGAATGGTATCGTAACAGTACAGTCAATGATCTCAGATACTGGGGTCTTGACTACCCTCCTCTGACTGCTTATCAGAGTTATGTACATGGTCTTTTCCTCAGATTTTTCAGTCCTGACTCCGTTGCTCTCTTCACTTCCCGTGGCCATGAGTCCTATTTGGGAAAACTTCTCATGAGGTGGACAGTGTTATCATCTGATGTCTTGGTATTCTTTCCTGCTGTTTTCTACTTTGTTGTAGTTTACTATGCTGGTCGAAACCCGAGTCGCCGTATGAGTGGCATAGCATGGCATATGGCAATTATTTTGCTTAATCCATGTCTCATCCTAATTGACCATGGCCATTTCCAGGTTTACAATTACATTTCCAATTGCATTCTCCATTTTCGTTTGCTCCCATACAGTTTTTATTCCAAACTGTCTTAGTGCTTAAACCTTCGTCTTTATTGATTTTTGTCAGTACAACTGCATCAGCTTGGGTCTAACTGTGGGAGCTATTGCCTCTCTTCTTTCAGACAAAGATCTTGTAGCCTGTGTCCTATACAGTCTTGCTCTCAATCACAAGCAGGTATCTTTAGATTCAGTTTAAAATCCATATCATGATTGTTTAAGTTTCATTCTTTATTCTTAGGGATTATTATTTTCTTGCTTATCTATGGTATTAAAATTTTGTTGTTGAAATTTTTACCGGACATTTGAACTTTACCTCAAATAAAAGGAAAACCTTGGAGCAGGTTAGGGTGTATTATTGACAGCTAGATTTCTAAACATGAAAGGTGATGGGGTAATTAAAAAACAAAATATACAAGATGTCTTTATTATCATTGGTAATGTTGTAGTCATAATTATCTTGATAAATTTTCTTGTAAGTGCTTTGGAAATTTTCTTTCAGTTGTCCTAAATGACAACCGTGGTTCCTTGTTTTTGGTTTCAATTGAGGCCCAAGCCTGTGGAGGGGGAGGGCCAAATGAATTTGCTTCCACTTATTCACCCAAATGAATTCTACAACACCAAAGCATGCTTATTTATGAGGATGTGGAATCCTCATTTTTAGACCATTTTGATTTAGTTTCGAGGCTAAAGATGCTCCAAAACCTAACAATGTGTAGATTTCATTTCAAAAGAGCTGATCCACATTCTGAAGTCATTCCAAAGGGACAGTTCCAATTTGTTAATTTCTTTTTTATGATATGGTTATGAGGAGCCCAGCTACTGGAAGTTCAACCATGCATGCAGGATTTAATAAGTTGTATCTTGCAGACAATATGTTACTCTAGGCTTAAGCTATTGGTGGATAGTTACAGGTTATTTAGCTGTTGCTTTCAGAAAGTGTTTATATAATCTGTTCATGGAGAAAACAGAAAACATGTTTCTGTTGTTTTGTTATAGTTTATTTCTTTTATCTGAAATCAGAAAATGGAAATTGAAAACAACAATTTAGTTTGCGGAATATAAGCTTGTTTGGTGGTATGTTTTCAACACTTTGAGAACATAAACTTTTCTCCAAAGATTCAACCAACCCAAATTGCCCTCAAATTTTTTTATTTCATTATATCACTAGCATTTAATAGTATAAGTTATTGAAGAAATCTTATGTGAACTTAGCTGAGACTATGTGAATTGTCTTCAGCAGCTCTTAACCAACAAGTTCCAATGGCCAGCCATTGGCCTTTGTATGTGATCTGTATCCCAATTACCACGGGGTTGAGGGTGAGCTTGTGGCCCACTGGGCGTTCAAGCTGATTTGCTAAGTTAAAAAAAAAAATTGAAATAAAAAATGGTAAAATAATAGAATCAGTGAAAAGGCTAGGTTATTGACTTGGAAGGGTGAGAAAGAAATGTTATGGAGCATGCAAACCAAACAAAAGGGGTATTAAATTAACAATTTCTGGAAATAAATATGTTTGCCTAGTCGCATAGGATATGTATACTGCTTTTTGAAGGTTTCACTTTTAAGACTATTCATGAATGAATACGTTTTAAAAGTACACTTGGTCCAGAATGGCCTGGCTTAATATTCAATTGATTGGCCCAGGGGTTTTTGTGCAACTTACACTGGTGGTACATTATCAAATAACCTTTCTATACAGCCAGAGTAGAGCAAAACAAATAGGTTTCTAGTTAGTCGTTTACTAACCAATTAAATATGCTCTGACCTTTGTCAGTCACCTGAAGGTTGTCTCTGCTTGGGGTTTTCTACTTGCTGAATGTGATATGTTCTTTTGCAGATGAGTGCATATTTTGCTCCTGCATTTTTCAGCCACCTACTGGGTAAATGCCTAAGGCGTCGATATCCACTTCTTCAAGTGTTAAAACTCGGCCTTGTTGTCTTAGGAACATTTCTTATTGTCTGGTGGCCATATGTTGATTCAATGGAAGCCTTTTTGGGGGTAAGCATTATTACAAATTTATTAAGGAAAATAAAAGCACAGAGTTCATTTTGTCGGTTTGCTTGAATGTCTTCTTCTGCTATAACTTAAACTCACACTTCTCTGTGCTTCTGTTTTTGGGGCCCCTTTAAAGCATGACAAATTTATGTAGGCAAATACTCACGCATTTGTTAACTATAAGAATATAGAAAAAGATCTAGGGCACATCTGGTGTTGTACTGTGTGCTGGATTTGACACAGTTATAGGGATTATATCTGGTGCTGGATGTGACACAGTTGAATGTGGATCACATGTCTCAAGCATTGAAACGTGTGACTCATCTGTTAATTTGCTACTTCAGTCACCAAATTATTGATGTTATTGTCGTGTGGGTTTAATTTAAAGCAAACAGCAAGCACAACTTTAAGAAACATAGTACACATTAGGCGCAGTAAATATAAGTTAAAAAGATAATAGTACTTGATTTATTTGTTTAGTTCTTGTTTTGTAAAGAAAGAACATTTTATAGGATACTGGTGTTTATAAAGTAATCAAGATGTTTACCCACAAAAAAAGATATCGTTCTCTGCTTTCGTTTACACACGTGCACACACACACACATGACAGGAGTTAATTTACTTAAGCTTTGGTGAATGGTACAGGTTCTCTCTCGTCTTGCTCCTTTTGAGAGAGGGATATTTGAGGATTATGTGGCTAACTTTTGGTGCACCACTTAGGTTCTTGTAAAGTGGAAGAGATTGTTTCCAACACAAACCCTGAAGCTTCTCAGCTTTGGTGCAACTATTTCTAGTTGCCTGCCTTCAATGATTCAGCAGATATGGTCTCCAAGCAAGCAAGGTTTCCTTTATGGTTTGCTGAATAGTGCATTCTCATTTTATTTGTTCTCATTCCAAGGCAAGTGAAGCTTTTCCCGCGTAACAACTTGTGTCCATAATTGATTCATAGTGTACATAAATGCTTATTTCTCTTAACTTTCAGTGCACGAGAAGTCAATTTTGCTGCCTCTCCTGCCAGCAAGTCTTTTGGCAACGGAAGAACCTTTTCTTTTTACCTGGATGACACTTTGCGCCTTGTTCTCAATGTTTCCTCTTCTACACCGTGACAAACTGGTTCTACCTTATCTGTCACTATCTGCTCTCTTTATACTTTTAAACCATTTGTCGAGTGGAAGACGGGACACAAAGGACACAAGCGCCTTCAGATCTTTTGTGACAAGAGTCTTTCTTTTGTGCTCAGTCATTCTTCATGTTGTTTATTTAAGCATGCATGCCCCAGCTAGATATCCTTTCCTTTTTGAAGCTTTGATTATGCTCCTTTGCTTCTCCCAGTTCGTTTTTCTAACTTTGTACACTAATGCGAAGCAATGGATGTTGCCGAAACACTC